TCAATAAGTGGTGCTGGGAAAACAGGACAGCTACATGTAAAAGAATGAAATTAGAACACTCCCTAACACCATACACAAAAATAAACTCAAAATGGATTAAAGATCTAGGGACTTCCCGGGTGGCGCAGTGGTTAAGAATCTGCCTGCCAATGCAGGGGACATGGGTTTGAGCCCTGGTCCGGGAAGATCCCACATGCCACGGAGTAACTAAGCCCATGCACCACAACTACTGAGTCTGTGCTCTAGAGCCCACGAGCCACAGCTACTGAGCCTGTGTGTCACAAGTACTGAAGCCCACATGCCTAGAGCCCATGCTCCACAACAAGAGAAGCCACCGCAATGAGAAGCCTGTGCAATGCAACGAAGAGTGGCCTCCGCTCGCCGCAACTAAAGAAAGCCCACGTGCAGCAGCAAAGACCCAACGCAGCCAAAATAAATAAATAAATAAATAAGTTTATTACCAAAAAAAAAAGTGGATTAAAGACCTAAATGTAAGACGAAATACTATAAAACTCTTAGAGGAAAATATAGGGAGAACACTCTTTGACATAAATCACAGCAAGACCTTTTATGACTCACCTCCTAGAGTAATGGAAATAGAAACAAAAATAAACAAATGGGACCTAATGAAACTTAAAAGCATTTGCACAGCAAACGAAACTATAAACAAGATGAAATGACAACCCTCAGAATGGGAGAAAATATTTGCAAATGAATTAGCAGACAAAGGATTAATCTCCAAAATATATAAACAGCTCATGCAGCTCAATATTAAAAAAAACAAACAACCCAATCAAAAAGTGAGCAGAAAACCTAAATAGACATTTCTCCAAAGAAAACATACAGGTGGCCACGAAGCACATGAAAAGCTGCTCAACATCGCTAATTATTAGAAAAATGCAAATCAAAACTACGGTGAGGTATCACCTCACACCAGTCAGAATGGGCATCTTCAGAAAATCTACAAACAACAAATGCTGGAGAGGGTGTGGAGAAAAGGGAACCCTCTTGCACTGTTGGTGGGAATGTTAAGTGATACAGCCACTATGGAGAACAGTATGGAGGTTCCTTAGAAAACTAAAAACAGAATTACCATATGACCCAGCAATCCCACTACTAGGCATATACCCTGAGAAAACCATAATTCAAAAAGATACATGCACCCCGATGTTCATTGCAGCACTATTTACAATAGCCAGGTCATGGAAGCAACCTAAATGCCCATCAACAGATGAATGGACAAAGAAGATGTGGTACATATACACAATTATTACTCAGCCATAAAAAGGAACGAAACTGGGTTATTTGCAGAGACATGGATGGACCTAGAGACTGTCATACAGAGTGAAGTAAGTCAGAAATAGAAAAACAAATATCGTGTGTTAATGCATACATGTGGAATCTAGAAAAATGGTACAGATTAAACTGTTTGCAAGGCAGAAATAGAGACACAGATGTAGAGAACATCTACATGTTCTCTACAAGCGGGGGAAGCGGGGGATGAATTGGGAGATGGGATTGACATATATATATGTCAATATGTCAATTGACATATATATATACACTAATATGTATAAAATAGATAATTAATTTTAAAAGAAGACCTATTTAAGTAATAGAAAACATGAGGAGATAAAAAAATAAATAACAAACAATGTACATGCCTTAGTTTAAAAAAACACCATATTGGGCTTCCCTGGGGAGCAGTGGTTGAGAATCTGCCTGTTAACGCAGGGGACAGGGGTTTGAGCCCTGGTCTGGGAGGATCCCACATGCTGCGGAGCAACTGGGCCCATGAGCCACAACTACTGAGCCTGCTCGTCTGGAGCCTGTGCTCCGCAGTAAGAGAGGCCACGACAGTGAGAGGCCCATGTACCGCAAAAAACAAAACAAAACAAAAAAATAAAAATAAAAAACAAACAAAAAGAACGTTTCCTTAAATGATTAAAGAAATCAATCTGGGGCTTCCCTGGTGGCGCAGTGGTTAAGAATCCGCCTGCCAATGCAGAGGACACGGGTTCGAGCTCTGGTCTGGGAAGATCCCACATGCCGCGGAGCAACTAAGCCCGTGCGCCACAACTACTGAGCCTAGGCTCTAGAGCCCGTGAGCCACTACAGAGCCCACGTGCCACAACTACTGAAGCCCGCGTGCCTAGAGCCCATGCTCCGCAACAAGAGAAGCCACCGCAATGAGAAGCCCGCGCACCGCAAAGAAGAGAAGCCCCCGCTCGCCGCAATTAGAGAAAGCCCACGCACAGCAATGAAGACCCAACGCAGCCAAAAATAAAAAAAAGAGAAATCAATCTGTGTCCTGGAGGAGCACGTGGAGTTGCAGAAAAATGTAACATGGTATATGCTCAAGGGAGTAACAGGTTATAACCAAGTTCCTAAAGGGACTAATGCTACTGAACTTCAGTGATAAAAAACAGTTATCCCCACAAAAAGCACATCACCCACAATGGCGGAGGCAGGAATCAGACCAGCCTGAGATTTCTCCCTTTGCCACTTAAATACTGAAAGACCCCGAAGTGATGGCCACCAAGCTCCACAGTCTGGCCAGAGCCCATCAGACCCAGCCAAGGTGTCATTCGAGTTCAAAAGCAAGGCACAAACACTTGCAAATGTGAGATGTTATTAGGAGAAGAAAACAGGAATATAGCCAATTAAGACAGGAACCAAAATAAAAGACTCTGTGCTGGGAAAGCTGTACCTGATGGAAGCATTAAATCAATTTACATAGAGAACTGAGCCAAATAATGGTGGAAAGTGTGGTTACAGAAGAGAATGGAAATTACCACGTACAATGAATAGTAAGACTTTTAAAAATGAGAGCCTAATGGACATATATACACCACCAAATGTAAAATAGGTAGCTAGTGGGAAGCAGCGGCATAGCACAGGGAGATCAGCTCGGTGCTTTGTGACCACCTAGAGGGGAGAGATAGGGAGGGTGGGAGGGAGATACAAGAGGGAGGGGATATGGGGATATAAGTATACATATAGCTGATTCATTTTGTTATAAAGCAGAAACTAACACACCACTGTAAAGCAATTATACTCCAATAAAGATGTTAGAAAAAATAAAAAATGAGAGCCTGGGGAAGCAGGGGAGGGATGAGAACGCTGACATCCCTGTCCTTCAGGAGGGGAGTCAACGAACATTGCCAGAACGGAAACACTGTCTTCAAAAGCCACAATTCTGACCTTGTCATGCTTTTAAACATCTCTCCCCTTGACCTTAAATGAACCTTTTAGAAAGTAAGTGCTCGGTGTTTATTTGAAGTTTAACAGTTCTTTCGTTTCACTTCAGCATCTTTCCTTTTATTGAAATCCACTAAAAACAGTATTTTTATCATAAACTAGCACTGTCAGACAAGCTGCATGTTTATAAAGCACGTCTCTCCTTCTTCATAACTATCCCTGGACTCGTCTAAATGCATTAGAAAGTTGTGTTGGGAATTCTCCGGCGGTCCAGTGGTTAGGACTCAACGCTTTCACTGCCGTGGTCCCAGGTGTAATCCCTGGTCAGGGAACTAATATCCCCAAGCCACGCAGTGTGGCCAAAAAAATACAAAAAAAAAAGAAAAAAAAAAAGTTGTCTGGATGATGTGACCCCAGTGTCACTGGAGGTCCCCTTGGGTGCCTAGGATGTGGGGCAAGATATATTTCCTTACCTGTACTTTCCAGTATTAACTGATTATATTGAGCGTGCATCATTTCATCACTTAATGCAAATAGAGAATGATTTGTTCAAAAAAAAAAAACAGACTGGAAAAACATGCCAAGATGTGAACAGCTGTTAGTAATGGTGGATATGGATGACAATTTTCTTCTTTAAACTTTCCTGTATTTTTTCCAGGAAAAAAAAAAAATGCATCCAATGTTGTTCAAGAATGTGAGGTGACAATGAAAGTTTATGGTAATTAGTAAAATGTTAAGAGGGAAAAAACACAACTAGAAACCTCTGTGGAGAGGCACACACGCAGACACAAGAGTGATTAGCACCAGATAAAAGGTTATAGGTGATTTCTTTCTCCTCCTTTCTTACCTATTTTCTAATTTCTGAAGGATGAACATTTATTACTTGTGTAATTAAAAAGACACATCTTGGGTTTTTTTTTAATATACATTATTTTATTTTTATTTATTTTATTTATTTATTTTTGGCTGCATCGGGTCTTCGTTGCTGCACGCAGGCTTTCTCTAACTGCGGCACGCGGGCTTCTCACTGCAGTGGCTTCTCTTGTTGCAGAGGACAGACTCTAGGCGTACAGGCTTCAGTAGTTGTGTCATGCACGCTCAGCAGCTGTGGCTCACGGGCTCTAGCGCTCAGGCTCAGTCGTTGTGGTGCACGGGCTTACTTGCTCCGCGGCATGTGGGATCCTCCCGGACCGGGGCACGAACCCGTGTCCCCTGCATCGGCAGGCGGACTCTCAACCACTGCGCCACCAGAGAAGCCCCGGTTTTGTTTTTTAATAGAAGTGGCTTCTCAGGGTGCAACGATTCCCAGCCCCAGAGGAGCTGGAGTGACGAGGCGGAGTATTGGACAGTGCATGCAGGAGGAACTGAAGCTCAGCTGGAGAGGATGCGAAGGTGATTTCTAAATTCCCGTAGGGCTCAGCAGTCCAGTGATTCAGTGCACACGTGGAACAAGGGTGAAGGCTGGCATAAGACAGACCCAGCCCCAGACGCCTCCCCTGCCCTGTTACGGTATATGCACACGCCCCGGACTCGTGTGTTATGTCAGACACAAGATGAAGAAAACAGCTGGATTCACAGCCCCCTGGACCAACACGCCACTCGAAAGCCTGGATGCCCAAGCTTAGAGCCTCTACACGCTTCCAATGGTTGGAAAAGAAAAACAAAAAAAGAAAGGAAGAACAAAGAGCTCATGGCAGCAGATGAGGTTCTAGAAGGAGTTACCTTCTAGCGTCACGACCATGCACATACTCATGCCCAGACCTCAAGGTGGGGAACACTCCACCTGGAACAAAACTCACCCGTGGCCACGGCCCAGTAAACGTCCGATCCACTCAGTAACTCACCACATGCTATGGGAGAATACACCTGGGAGCCGGGGACCTGGAGGAGAATTCGAAACGGAGCGACCCGGGCGTTGGAATCCAGCACCGCGTCCAGGGCCCCCACCAGGCGACCTTCAAGAGACAAGAGGACAACACACGTGTGAGCACAGGAACAGACAGGCCAGCAGCCCACGTGCAGCCACCCGCTCCCCGCGCACGTGCCCTGCCTCTAGGCTCGACCCCGGGCAGCAGGCCTGGCGTCCAGCTCGCGAAGCCCGGAGATCTAGCTGCCTTGTCCCGTTTCAGAGCATCTGGAACAGAGCCCGGCATTTGCGGCCACTCAGCGCAGATTTGCAGAATCAATGAGTGAGTGAACAAGGGGCCCCCGACAAGCCACCCAAGCGAGCTGAGTCTTTGGTTCCCCCAGCGGCATGGTACAGGAGGCCACAGCATGCAGTAAATAAAGGCTAGGGATCCAGAGTCTGACGGCCTGACTTGAATTGTGGCTCCACTACTTTCCAGCTGTGTGACCTTGGGCAAGGTGTTTAACTTCTCTGTGCCCCAGTTTCCCCATTTGTAAAATGGACTAACCACAGTGTATCTTCCTCACAAGGTAACTGTGAGAATTAAACCAGTTAATGTATGCAGCATTCAGAGGGCTCAGACTATCACCTGGCCATGAGAAGTATTACCTAAATGTTGCCTATTATTATTATTATTATTATTATTATTATTATTATTATTATTATTATTATTATTATTATATCATCATCGCAAAGGTGGAAGAATAATCCAGCAAGGAACTGTGAGAAGCAAATAAGAAAACATACTGAGGGACTTCCCAGGTGGTGCAGTGGCTAAGACTCCACGTTCCCAGTGCAGGGGGCCCAGGTTCCATCCCTGGTCAGGGAACTAGATCCCGCATGCATGCTGCAACTAAGAGTCTGCATGCCGCAACTAAGGAGCCTGCCTGCTACAACAAAGACCTGGCACAGCCAAATAAATAAATAAAATTAATATTAAAAAAAAAAAAAAAAAAGAGGGCTTCCCTGGTGGCGCAGTGGTTGAGAGTCTGCCTGCCGATGCAGGGGACACGGGTTTGTGTCCCGGTCCGGGAAGATCCCACATGCCGCGGAGCGGCTGGGCCCGTGAGCCATGGCCACTGGGCCTGCGCATCCGGAGCCTGTGCTCCGCAACGGGAGAGGCCACAACAGTGAGAGGCCAGCGTACCGCAAAAAAAAAAAAAAAAAAAAAACAAAAGAAAACATATCGAAGTCCTTCACACACCATGAAGCACACAACACAAAAGTTTATCATCCTGTTGTCATGAAAAGCACCATGAATCGACAGCAGAGGGAAAAAATGACAACACCTGCTCCTGCCCCATCTTCTACTGCCTAGAACTCAAGACGGTTGAGAGGATTAAGACCCTCTAATTCTTACGTAACAGGCCCTGAGGAAGGGCCACAAGTTTCTGCAGAATGTCCCATAGTTTGGTTTTGTCTGATGCTTCATCATAATTAGAGCATAATTAGATTCAGGTTATACATCTTTGCAATGAGTCACAGAAGTGATGCTGTATCCCTTTTACCCCATCCTATCAGGTGCCAGGCGATTTTGTTTTGTCCCATTACTGGTAGCACTCCTTTGACCAGTGGATGAAGGGTGTCTGCCAAGCTTCCGTCTGTGCGGTGTCTCCTTTCTCTTTGTCATTAACAAGCACTCCGTGGAGAATTACTTTGAAACTCTGTTCCTCATTAACTTTTCAACTTATTCTTTTAGCCCTATCAGTCTGGGTTCACCTTTTCCTACTTTATCCAACGGGTTTGAGGCAGGAGGGAAGGGGGCAGGGCACAACCCTTAAAGAATGACACAACCCTTGAGAAAAACTGGATACGACACAAACTGGTTGCTACCACTGTCCCCTTCCTGGCAGATGCCCCCCTCATCCTATCCAGGCTCTGACTGTCCACGCACCCCACCCCTACACTCACCGCGATCTGTCCCACTTAATGGCTTTAGGGGAAGAGGGGAGAAAGGGTGTGTGGGTTTTTAGAGCAATTATTCCTTAGGCTGCCCACAATTTTTGCCTCCTTACTGGTTGGCTGCTGACTTACAGAAAACTGAGAGGCCTGAAAGCTCTCTGCTTTAATGTAGAATCTAAGCAGCAGCTTAGGGGAGCTCTGATAAAACACACCGGGTGGGGGGAAGGGAGCAGAGTGTGGAGTTAAGGTTGCATTTGTGTAAGATTGATGAAACACGTTTGCCTATCAAAAAAGGGGGTGTAATAAGGAGGCCGACGGAGACTAGAAAAGGACTAAAGACCCTCACCCACCCCACACATGTACACCTGGCACTCCCACCAGAACTCAGAGCTCCGTTTGGTAAAACCCTGAGCAACAAAAGACGGAAGTGGGCAGGCTGGCCAGTAACTCAGAGCAGAAGCAGTCTTTTTCTTTTTTTTTTAATTTTACTGAAGTATAGTTGATTTATTATGTTGTGTTAATTTCTGCTGTACAGCAAAGTGATTCAGTTTATATATATATATAATATATTCTTTTTCATATTCTTTTCCACGATGGTTTATCACAGGATACTGAGTATAGTTCCCTGTGCTTACAGTAGGACCCTGTTGTTTATCCAGCCTATATATACTAGTTTGCATCTGCCAGTCCTCCCCGTCCCACCCTCCCCCTTGGCAACCACAAGTCTGTTCTCTATGTCTATGAGTTTGCTTCTGTTACATAGATATGTTTATTCAGATTCCACATGTAAGTGACATCATATGGTATTTGTCTTTCTCTTTCTGACCTACTTTACTTAGTACTGATGCCAAAAACCTGGCCTCTGTGCACTGGTGCTGAATCGAATCTCAGAGACAGAGTTTTGGGTGAAGTAGAAAAGAATAGCTTTATTGCTTTGCCAGGCAAAGGGGGATACAGCAAGCTCGTGCCCCTTAAGGACTTCAGGTGGTAAAATTGTCCATTACCACAATATCAACAGGCTCTAGTGTGACAGCAGATGACATCTGAAAGAACAGCAAGACCCCATCTGGGGAGAAGCCCAAAGACAAAAGAGGTCAAAACCAGGACACCTGAGGAACCTGAAACCTGAGGCACCTACTGCTGTAGCTATAGGCACCTACAGCAAACCTTAAACACAGCCCAAGTCATAGTAAGAATAACATACAATTCACAATAAAGAACCACTCTTCAGTTCTTACTACCTGACACATCATGTCTGGCTTTCAACAAAGAATACTGAAAGGCAAGAAAAAACATGATCTGAAGAGCTAGCAAGCATCAGAATGGGCATCATACATGGCACAGATCTTGGAATTATCACACAAGGAATTTAAAATAACTGTGATTAATAGGTTAAGGGCTCCAATGCAAAGGCAGACAATATGCAAGAACAGATACCTAATGTAGCAGAGAAATGGAGACCCTAAGAACTAGTCAAAAAGAAATGCTAGAAAGCAAAAACACACTAAAAGAATGAAGACTGTGTTTGGTGGGCTCATCAGTAGACTGGACACAGCCAAGATGAGCTTGAAGATAAGTAAATAGAAATCTCCCAAACTGAAATACAAAGAGGAAAAAAAGATGAAAAGACAAAAAAGAGCATCCAAGAACTGTGGAGCAACTTTAAAAGGTTTAAGATATACATAAACGGAATACCAGAAGAAGAAAGAGAAAATTGTTTGAAGTTATAATGGCTGAGAATTTCCTAGAACTAATTACAGACACCAAGATAATTACAAATACAGGAAGCTCAGACAACATCTAACAGGTTAAATACCAAAAAATACACGCGTAGGCATATCATATTCAAATTGCAGAAACCAAAGACAAAGGGAAAATCAGAATGGAAAAAAACAGCTTACTCGTAGAGGAACGAAGAATTACAGCAGACTTCTTGTTAAAAACCATACAAGCAAGAGTGTGGAATGAAATATTTAAAGCATTGAAAGAAAAAAACACCAGCCTAGAATTCTATACCCAGTGAAACTATTCATCAAAAGTAAAGGAGAAATAAAGAATTTTTTAAGCAAACAAAAACTGAAAGAATACATTTCCAGTAGACCAAACCGGTAATAAATGTTAAAAGAAGTTCTTCAGAGAGAAATAAAAATGATATGTCAGAACTAAGGCCTTCAAAAAGAAAGCAAGTGGTGTGCTGGAGAAGAAAAAAAAGCAAACTAAAATATTTTCTTTTTCTTATTTGTAATTGATCTAAAAGATAACTGTTAAAGTAATAATAGTGAAAATGCACTGGGTGATCACAGCACATGGAAGAAGTGAATAGCAGCAATGTCAAAGGATCAGAGGGAAGACTTGAAAACACAGTTATAAGACAGTGTTATTTGAAGGCAGACTTAGATTAGTTTGAAATGTATATTGCAAACTCTAGGGCAACTCCTACAAAATTTTTTTAAAGAAGTATAACTGATATCCTAAGAGGAGAGAAAATGGAATCATAAAATATTCCATTGAAACCAAACAAGGCAGAGACTTTTTTTAATGTAATGAAAACAAATATGGTGGGTATTAATCCAACTACAGTTCACCCTTGAACAACACAGATGTGAACTGCACAGGTCCACATAACACATGAATATTTTTCAATAGTACATACTACAGTGCTACATGAGCCACGGTTGTTGAATCCCTGGTTGGTCGAATCCACGGATACGGAGGAACCACAGACCTGGAGGAATCATGGTATTTGGAGCGCTAGCTATAAGTTATACACAGATTTCTGACTGCATAGAGGGTTGGGACCCCTAACCCCTGCACTGTTCAAGGGTCAACTGTATATTATGATCACTTTCAATGTGAATGGTCTGAACACACTATGAAAAGACTGAGATTTCAGAGTGGATTAAAAAAAATTTCTTTTAAATCTCAGTTGTATGCTGTCCCCAAGAAACCCACTTTATTAAGAGTCAGATTAAAGGAAAAGGGATTGGGGGAGGAGGGGGAGACACGGTAAAGAAATGGAGGGCTTCCCTGGTGGCGCAGTGGTTGAGAGTCAGCCTGCCGACGCAGGGGACACGGGTTCGTGCCCCGTCTGGAAGGATCCCACATGCCGCAGAGCGGCTGGGCCCGTGAGCCATGGCCGCTGAGCCT